TCAGAACCTATGTTTTTGTCCAGACACAGTTCAGTTCTAGGAGGGCTCCACCGAAGTAAAAGCAGCCCTTTAATATTCAACTTGGAGAGTGGGGGGGATATCCTATTGAGTTCAAGAGGGTTTCCAATGAAGAAAAAGTGCTTTGGGGAATTTACTCAGAAGTAAATTCCACTGGATTAAATGGAATTTCCTCTTAGGTCAATAGACAAAGATACCTTATATGTAATATCTGTAAGGGTTTAATTGGAGTAGTTTCTATTTACAAGAGAGTTGAGTGAGATAATATTCCAAGGAAGAAGCCTTATTATCTTTAGTCTTTCCATTTCTAACTTGCCTCTTTTAGCTTGATTCACACAATGCACCGACAAACTCATAATTTGACGTAATTGTTTTTTTTGGGGGGTTAGGGTCTTTTGTAAACGATGGTTTGTGACTTAACTAGGGAGTGAAACCGGAGAATTGTTCCTGAGCCAGCGAGCTCCATCCAACTGAGCAAACCGGTAGCTTAGTTTGATGCACCAACCCGATAGCTGTTCGCATAGCTGAATCCCTAACTAGCTATAATCACATTTCTCTATGGTTAGTTTCGTGCTTAATGTGTCGGAGGGACCCAGAACATTGCATTAGTTCTGCAACCCATGGTTCATTTAAGCGTGATAACCATGGGAACCCAGCCAGTCACTATGCGGAATCGAGGCTTTTGAGAAAGACCTGCGGTGTTTGCAAAAAAAGCAGCCTGACTCGTGGCTCGCTTCACTCTCGTTCCCCTGAATTATATCCCCAAAGAGGCGAACTGATACCTCCCCCCACATACACGCACTCTGAATCACAGGCAGGTCCACCACATTTCAGCCTAACTTGTCGCCCGAACTCAGACAATCCTTTGCATGGGTGTTGGTTTTTTTTTTTTTTTTTTTGGTCTCAAGAGCCTCGGGCTTCCTCCATCCTGGCGGCTGAGGTTTTCCTGACTTTATCCGCTCGTCCTAAAGCCCGACTTTTCGTCTTCTCGCTCCGCCCCCGCAACTCCTCTGCTTTTCCCTTCAGTTTAGAGAAAATTCCCACCAAAAAAAAAAAAAGCCGATGGGGAAAAAGCTCCAGCCCACATGAAAGGGGAAAGGGATCTTTCTTTCTTTCTTTTTTTCTTTTCTCTCTCATCTTGGCTCTCTTCAGTGGGACACACGGTTCTTTTGCTGGGGAGACCCTGTTGGCGGGGCCCTTGGCTCTTTATAAGAGATTGTAGCTCCTGGTGGCTAAGGAAGGGGGGGTGCATCGAAGTGTATCTCAGCCCACCGCGGAACCGAGCGCAGCTATGCCCAAGGCTCTCTTTTTCCCGGTCTCACGTCTTTTACTCCATCTATTCGGGATTTTGCGAACAGTGTGACCGGGGGAAGGAAAGCGTGGTTATCAGCCGATGAGTATATAAGCTTATAGACGTGGGGAGAGAGGGAAAGGTTCAGAAACGGGCATAAATCCTTTCCTAATTGTTTTATTAGAGGGATCAGATTAATACTAAACCTCCGTGCGGAAAGAGTCCTCTCCGGAGAAAGCTTCCTTTTTTTCCCTCCTATCCGCCTCCCTTGGGATCCAGGAAGAGTCAAACATTGCCCCAAATCGACACAAATCTCGTTGAAACTTGAAAGGATTTCGCTTCCATTCCTCGATTTTTATTTTTATTTTATTTTTAATGGCGATTCCAATCGATTAGACACGTGCTAATTGGAGACCGGGCTGCTTAATCGCTACGACAGCCAATAAGAATTCTCTTTAAAAAGAAAAAAAAAACCCAAAACGCCTAGGCTGTTGCATTCGCTGCTAGTTCATAGAAAATAACCAAACGGATCCTTAAAACGCGTGATAGGGAAGGTGTTTTCCCAATACACCTTTTTTCCCATCAAACACAAATCGCGCTCCCTGTCTTTCTGAGGCAGAGGCGAGCGTTTAGTGACAAGATTTAAACAGCAAAACCCTCAGATCGCAGACGACTGTCAAAGGAAAACCGTGGCTTTGGCGTCTCCAAAGAAGGGTGGGTGGGTTGGTTTTTCCAAAGAGGAAGATCTCTTTGCGCCAGCAACATCAAATGAAGCTCTCCCTTTACGCGCTAATTTTCTCCCTTTCCCCTCCTCCCGCCTCTTAAGCGGTTCCCATTATGTAGTTTAAAGTACAATAATCTCGAGGGCAAAGGGAGGGATTCTGCCAATGAGAGCGGCAGCTCCAACAATTAACATGAAGGGGAAAATAGGATTCGAATTAGGTGGAACAAGATCAACATTTAGCAAAAGCGCCCCTGAAAACTTCTTCGGCTTCTAAGCAGCCGCCTGAAAACTAGAGAAGGGGGACCTAGAGGCAGCTTTTCGCCAGCTGCGATCTGCTCGAATCAAACGCGAGTTTATGGGGCACCAAGTTCCCGCCCCATTCATTACTGTGGAAGTTGCTTCCCAAGACCTTCTCTTCATTGGCGTGAAGAGGATATATATCCCACGGAGATATACCGCCAAAGGCCACGTGGACAGCCGGCTTGGACCTTTAGACAAAAACCCACTCGTGTTTTTCTGATCACAAACTCATATCGGGGTAACGCGTTGGCTTCTATGCAGCATCCTGAAGTTTCGTGTTTCTCCACCCTCCAGAGCCCTTTTGTCTTTCTCCTTACGAGGCTTAGATAACTGGGTTTTTTTTTATAATCCCCAGATGGAAGCAGCTTTCTTTCAACATTCTCGTATTTGCTTTTATTCATCTCAACTTTTTTTTTTCTTCTAAAAAAGATCATCCCAAGAAACCCTCCGCCCTTCTCTTTGGGTCCTACAAAAAATAAAATAAAACGGTTCTGTACAGAAAACGTATTATATGGGATCGACTTGAATTCTGTCTGACATATTTCCATTCCTCCGTTTTCCGGTTATGGCATATTTATACATTCGATTAAAACGAGAACCAAGCAACAAAATGTGCACTGGAGAAAGCTGCAGTATCCCAAACCGTATTTATTAGGAAATCCCACCCAAGCCAAGTCGCATTTATTACCGAGTAAACGTTTCTTAATTCGGCCGTCTAATCTTGATTTTTCCTTTCCCCTATACATGCAGGCGGTGCTTGCAGAGATGAATGTATAGATATAGGCAATAAAAAGCCTGTGATGTTCCAACGATCAGATCAGTGACTAAATGTGAATATATGGAAGGAGAATATATGAAGATGTTACTTTCTGATACACTCTCACACACGTGTATTCAGCACAGTCCGTTCAGATCAATAGGACTTCCTTTTAGACCAACTGGGCATAAGATTTCAGATTTCAACGTTCTATTTCAAATAGGATTTTAACATTCGGGAATCGGAAGCCTGAGAGTCTCGTCACGTGTTTTGCCTCTTGTCACTGTAAACACAGCAGCCGTAGGAGAACCCCGTTATCAGCCCCCAAGAATTGGATATGGATACACGGCCTCTCCCCCTGTCCCCCAAAAGGGGACAGACTTAAGCCAACAAAACAAGAGACACGCACACATCCTTGTCCCAGATTCGTCCGAGGATATTCGGATCACTATTACTTATTATTTCCGGAGACCACGATTTGGGGGGGGAGGGAGGGAAGAGATGGTCTACCCCTCCCAATAGCAGCAGCCAGCCCACCCTCGCCCTCGTTTGGTTTTCGCCCAATCTCAGACCGTTGCAAAAAACAGCATCAACGATGCCGAAGAACTGGACGGGAACAACAGCCGTTGTGATTAAGGCAAAACCAACCCCCCCCCCCAAAACAACAAAGGCAAACGAAGGGGTAGCAAAACCCAGCCAGTCCTACGTTCCGATTCCTCTGACTACTTTCTTGGTCCTCCCCCTCCCCCTCCAGCATCTCCGCCGTCCACCTTCTGCCAGGTGAAACTTTCCCGCGGACTGAGAGGTTGGCGGTGGTTTTTTTTTTTTTTTTTGTTATTATTATTATTATTTTTTTGTTTGTTTTAACTTTGTCGGCCTGGCTTTCTCTGCACCTACTTTTTTTTGTGTGTGCTTTAAGACGAAACGAGCTTTTTCCAGCCCATCCTCAAGCTTTTCCCGGTTTAAGGTTGTTTTTCCTCCTCTTCTTCTCTCTGCGGGGCTGCGTTTCCTTTTTCTCTCAAGAGCATCTCTCAATGAGTTGTCAATCAAGGCGGCGGCGGCTTCGCTTTCATCTTCTCTCCCTGCCCGCCCCCACCCTTTTCAACAGAGCCAGAGAGAGCCAGAGAGAGAAGGGGGGAGGGGAAGGGGAGAACGGGGGGGGGGAGGAGAAGAAGCGGGCGGAGGGACGGCAAAGTTACGCTACATGAGGAGAGCGCGGCGGGCGGCTGCTTTTCCACCTCGCGCGGCCCGCCTCGCAAGCCCACCAAGAGCTCGTGGACAACCAGAATCCCCGGGCCAGCGATTTCGAGCGAGGGGGAAGCCTTGGTCGCAAGCCGGGAGCCAGCGAAGCGCAACCGGCACCTTCGGCGAAAGGAGACCTTTCCATGCCCGCCCCTCTCGCCGACCAAAACCGAGCGCGCGGCCCCTACCCCTACCCCACCCCTACCCCTTCACCCCCCCCCCAAAAAAGCGAGTGCGCGTCCGCGCCCGTGCGTGGACCGCTGAAGGGGGCAGCAGCAGCACCTGGAAGAAGTTTGGGGTGGGTTTGCCTTTTTTTAGTCTCAAGAGTTTTGCAGCCCGGCTCGGTTTTTGGGGGCGGGTGTGTGTGTGGGGGGGATGCTTTTCTCAATTCCTGGAGAAGCTAACTTTCTCCCCTTCTTCTTTTTAAAGGAGCGTCCCTTTTTTTGCTGCCGCCCTCCCGAGAACTTTCGCTGCCGCTTCTTCTGCTTCTGCTTCTTATAGCTGCACCTGAGGAATTGTTCGGCTCCGTTTCCCCCTTGTCAATGCCAGCCGCCCGGTTCAGTTCGTTTCGGGAGAGCCAGGACGGCGTAGAGAATTAGGCAGCCGAGCAGGGGAAAAAAAAAAGTCTTTCCCTGCCAAAAAGGAACAAAAGCGGAGTTCTGGTGTGTTTGTGTGAGATTGCTCTTCACCTCTTCCCCTCCGACCCTTCTTCTCTCCCATTGGCATCCTTGCCTCGCCGGGACCCTCCAACTTTAGCGAGGTGTGTGTGCGCGCACAGGCAGGGAGACTTCCCCCCCCCAGTCCTTCCTGGGGTCGCTTCCCAACGGGGGCCGCTTCTGGATCTCAGAACGCTTCCATTTAAAGGGCTCGTTGGCTTTTCCTCTCGAAGACCAGCGTTTGTGCTTCACACACACACCGAGAGAGAGAGAGAGAGAGAGAGAGAGAGAGAGAGAGAGAGACAGACAGACAGACAGACAGACAGACACACAAAGAGAGAGAGAGAGAGAGAGAGACAGACACAGAGAGACACACACAGACACACACACACACACACACACACACACACACCGAGAGAGAGAGAGAGAGAGAGGGAGGGAGAGAGAGAGAGACAGACAGACACACACAGAGAGAGAGAGAGACAGACAGACAGACAGACAGACACAGAGAGGGAGACACACACAGAGAAAGAGAGAGAGAGAGACACACACACACATAGAGAGAGACAGACAGACACACACAAACACACACACACATACATACACACACAGAGAGAAAGACACAAAAATCGGGCGGTTGTGCCTTCTTTCAAAAAAAAGGGGGGGGAAGGGGAAAGGAGGACCCGAGGGCTCCGCGTTAGAAAATCGGACTTAAAAGCGTCCCTCAGGCAAGCCCAACTTGCCCCGACTTTCTTGTCGTCTTAACTGCAGACACAACAGAAACCGGCAGGGGAGGGGAGAGGGAGGAGAGGGGGGGAAGCGCGAGTCTGCCTGGCTCTTTGGCTTCCTTTCCCCTCCCCTTCTTTTAAAGCAGACAAAGTAGACAGGGCCGGCCGCACTCCCAATCTTGCTCGCTCTCCCCTCCCCCAGGTGTTTGGATATGGATGGGGTGGGAAAGGGAGGAGAGCGCAGCGCTTAAGCTGAGAGAGAGAGAGAGAGAGAGAGGCGGAGGGGGGGGCGCTATAGGAGTGCAGCGCAAAGCGAGCTCGCCGTCCAAAGCCTTTTAACTTCCCTCGCTCTCCTCCTTCCTCCCTGTTCTTCCTCTCTCTTTCTCTCTCTCTTTCGTTCTCTCTTCCTGCCTTCCCTTTTATTCTCCGGGGGTGGAAAAGCCACCATGCCTCAGCTCTCGGGAGGCGGCGGCGGCGGCGATCCGGAGCTTTGCGCCACCGACGAGATGATCCCCTTCAAAGACGAAGGTGACCCCCAGAAGGAAACGATCTTCGCCGAGATCAGCCACCCGGAGGAAGAAGGCGACTTGGCCGACATCAAGTCTTCGCTGGTCAACGAGTCGGAAACCATCCCCAGCAGCAACGGGCATGAGGTAGGCGGCAGCAGAAGAAGAAGAAGAAGGGGGCTTCTTCTTCGTCTGAACTTGGAAGGGTGTCTTGGGGTGTGAAGGACGAGCCGGGGCTGCTCCTTGACTGATGGAGCTGCAGAAAAGTTTCTGGAAGGAGCGGTGGTCGTGGGGTGGGAGGGTAGGACGGGAGCAAGCGGGAGTCCCGGAGCAGCAGAGTCCTGCCCGGAGAAGACAGTCCGCTTGCGCTCTCTGGGTGGGCTTCCCTTTGGGTGGGAGCGCCTTTCTTTCATCTATTGGCCTCGGGTCTCTTCTGGGATTCGTGTAGGGAATGGGGAAAAGTTATTTTTATTTTTTTTATTTTCATTTCATTTCATTTTAAAGGGCTTTCCTTGAAAGTTCCAGTCCCCTCGTTTCTCTCTCTCTCTCGCTCTCTCTGTCTCTCTCTCTCTCTTTTTTTTTTCACGGCCAGCTAAGGAAAGGGGGTGTGTGAGCCCAGAATGGAAAACGGGAAGCTGCAGAGCCGCCAAGTGGGTTACAGTTTTTGACCACGGCGCTTTGAAAACCGATCTGCCTCTGTTCCCCATGAATGAATTAGCAGCGCTTGGCGTAGTGGTGGGAGGAGAGAGCGGAGTTTGAAAGCTGTTTGCACTCCCCCCCCCTCCACTCCACTCCCCAACCCCTTTGGAAGGAGAGCCCGGGCTCGCTCAGAAGCTGAAATAGAAGGGTTGATTTGTTTACCCAGAGTTTAATCTTATTGCTACTTTATCCCCAAACTTAGAAAGGGGGGGGAGGAGAGACAAGGACACGACTGCTAGAATGCCACTATAGTAGCCCCCCCCCTCCCTTCGGCTCATTGGCTTTCTTTTTCTTTTTGCCAAATTGGTTCCTTTTGCTTAGTTCCTTGCATGCAGACAGCTGTTAAGGATGACTTGTAAATCCCCTTCTGTTTTGAGATTAAAACTTTTGAGTTTGATGCTGAGTGTTCTCGATCAAGATTATATTTGGGGCCTGGCCTTATCCCTGATGTAAAGTAGTCTTGGGACTGAGGACATAGAGGCAATTATGTGTGGCTAAGTATTAACTATTTAACTCTAGATGGAGAAACTGAACATGATTAGGACAGTAATACGGATTCTGCCCTCCCCCCACCCATCACATCCTAAGCACTTTTCACAAATAGATCTTGTCAGGCAAAGGGTCACAGAATTCTCCTCCCAAAAACCACCGTTAGGGGTTTCCATTTGGATTTAAGAGTTGATTATAAATTGAGATTGCAATTGTAGGAAAACAGAGGCTCTGCATATTTGCATATAGGAAGTATCCACTGCTTGCATTGATTCATGCATTAATAAAAACCCCCAAGGTCCATCTGAATTTGTTTACATGGAAAAAAAAGACGCCTGAAAGGTTTGGAGAAATGTTATTCCTGTAGCCTCAGTAGCTCAGAGATAGTAATAGCTGCTCGTAAGTCAGAAGAGCCTCTTTCTTCCTGTTGCTTCTGGCAGGAGTTGATGTAGAAATATTTTAGGAATGTAGCAATGGGCCCTGCCCTACCAATAATTAGGAAAAGGGTCTCAAACACAGTCGTTCCAAGTAAATTCCACCCACAATGTTATTTATGGGTAGGTAATACTGTATGTATGTATATATGTATGTATGTGTGTGTGTCACACTGAAGTGGGACTGGCCCTACCATCCTGCAGAATGAAACAGATGCTTTTGGCAGCTAACTTTGAGTTTTATCAAACAGCAGCACTAAATTGCTGGTTATTTGTTTACAAATGTTGGCTTATTCTAGGAAAAGGCACTTGTACTTCTCCAATACCAGAATAACCTTTTGGGGTTTTTGTTGTTGTTGTGCATAACAGTTACCTGTTTCTCGTGCAACAAAATACCAAGGCTTTTACAATGAAAATGCCCTTTTCCCATAAGATTCCAATTTTTTATGTTTACATGGCCAGCATCATTCAACATAGTGATACTTCGGGTTAGATGTGTATTGGTTTGTTTTGTAAATTAGTTTCCATGGCATATTGAAGGCATGTTCATATGACTCATAGGATCATACAATAGCATTAATCTAGAGCAGCCATGAATATTTTTGGATTGAAATCAGCAAGGTTACTGAATTAATCATAAACTCTTTAAAGGATTTACATAAAGTATTGGGTAACATCGTAAAACAAACTAGAGAGAGGTGGGTTGTTGTTTTTTTGTAAACCCACCCCCCAGTTTTTAATAATGCAATTTTCAATAAAACGAGCATCTAATGCAAAATAAGGACTATGGAAGCCATTCTGATATAGCTGAAAAGAGAATATTGGGACATCCTTCCCTTTCGCTTATTTGTCCTGGAAAATGTTTAAGAAACACTTTTACTGAACTTGGACACTGACAGTTTCCTACTATGTACCACAAAATATGGTAGCCGTCATATATGATGATTATTATTTTTTTTGGTTAGGTGTCTAGGCAAGGCCAGTCTCAGGAAGTTTATGAAAAAGGCAGAGAACATCCTGAAGAAGGTAAGAGATGTTGTGTTTATAGCAGCTTTATCCAACCTGGCAGTCTCCCATTATATTGGAAATATACTTCTTGTTCCCAGTCAGTATATATTATGGCTAGATATATACGATATGGTTTCTGGATTTCACTGTTGAGATAGTGGATTTGTTATGCTTCTGAGTGAAACTGAATAGGTGGGCCACCTAACCAAACCCATTCTTTTTGAATGTGGTTTGTTGGTCATGAATGTGATTTTGGTATCTAGCATTGTGTTTCTATGCCATGGGAATGTTTCCTCAATCAAGCCAGTGTCCTTTAAAAAAAAAAAAAAAGTTTTTAAAAGATAAATTGCTTATCTGCCAGGAAAGCATATGGGTGCTTTTTTTACAAGACAAGACAGCACTATTTATTTATGTACTCAGATGTTTGCTTATTTATTTACTTAAGTACAGAAGTGGTTAACAAACCTATTTTAAAATTATTTTTCAAAACCGTGATTAAGGAATCAGTTTAATTCACAGAATGCACTAGAGATCTACCCTGCTGTTAATTAAAGACAATTGTAGGAAGGTCTGCTGGATATTTGGTTAAATAAAGTCTTTCATTGAGCCCAGTTAGGCGAATTTTTTTTAACCACAAAATATTTCAGCTTCTTGTCAAATCCTGAACACAGACAAGCCTTCTGTTATCCAGGAACGGTGATGAAGCACTTGTCAATAAATATGGACAACCTAAATCCAACTTGCACTGCTTGCAAACTAGCCATTATTATTTAAATTAGATATTAAGCAGATTAAAAATGGAGACTCCTCTGATGAACAGGCTCACTACTATCAGCAGGATATTGTTGTATGCCAGCCTGAACTCTTTTTCTCCTTAATTGCTTCTAATTGGCCCAATCAGAATAAGCCAGATCATGCTGCATGTATAAAGACTACTAAAGTTTTAAAATGACACATTAAAAAAAATAGTGCATATTAATCATTAGAGAAAGCACACGTAAGTCACATATATAAGCATTTTCTTTTCTCTGTACGTTGTAGGGGTAAACAGATTTATTTGACATTTTAATATCATAGAGATCTGGCAGGCTGCAATTTTGAAGGTTGGAAATATTTGCTAGAAGTCAAACTGTACAGCCTATCCCACAGCATGTGTATGTATGGAAAGCTAAACTCTTACATACATATATTCTTTCAAGAGGTTTTAAAACTTAACTGAGAAAAGACTGAATGAGCAAAGATGAATCTTCAAAAAAAAAAAAGGGCAAAAGCTGCTTGATGAAGATCACGTTATATAAAAGTTTCTTTTGTATTAGAAATGTAAAGAACAGACTAAAATAACCCTTGCTTTTTACAGGCAAACACACAGATGGTGTTCTATACAGTAAAGGACCTTCTTATTCTGGTTATTCTGGGTATATCATGATGCCAAATATGAATAATGATCCATATATGTCTAATGGATCTCTTTCTCCACCAATCCCTAGAACAGTAAGTGTTCTTTATATATATGTGTGTGTGACTGTGTGTTTCTCTCTCTGTGTATCTGTGTCTCTGTGTTTTTATGCAATGAATGAAGAAAAGCTATCTTTGGAAAGACAAGCTTTGTTTATCGAGGAGCAAACATGTAGTTTTGATAACGTTTCAGAAGACTCCTTCCTGCTATGTGGCAATTCTTCCCTCAGAATCATTTCTAATTGCATTCAGACATTTTAATAATATTCAGAAACCTGTAATAGAGCATAAGGGGTAAATTCTACAGAATGTCTGGGTGGTATAACTTCAATAGCAGATGTAACCATTGACATATGCTTGTGATGTTCATTATAAAGTACATCTTTGTAGATGCTGGCAGTTGCCAAAGCAATTGTTAAGTTTCTTTTAAGTTTTTTTAGGATTAAGCTCCATTGGTTCAATTAAACCGATTACTTTTGAGAAACATGTGTAGGGCTGCTCCATTAGTGGCTACCCAAGTCTAAAGAGACTGAAGTCCCCAGCATATCTTACTAGATAAAGCCAATAAATCTGAGGTTTGAGTTGGTAAGACAACCTTATCTATTTTTGCTGGGCAAAATTTTTCCCTTTATATTAATTTTAAAATGAGAACAAGTATCCAGTATTGACAATACTTTAAACAAAAAGCTAGGGTTGCTGTCAATACATTTGATATCCACAATAACATATTTTAAAACCGAAAGTTACTTCAAGAGCTAATTTTTCAGGGTCCCAAAGTAATTTTTTTCTCTTGTTGCGCATTTTTAATTCATGTAAGTGTAATAGTTTGGGGCTTGCTTAAATAATTTATTTAATTCATGGTGGAAAATCCACAGGAGGTTATGGATTTCTGAGTTTTTTGTATTCTCTAAGATTATTATAAAGATTATTATAACCGGAATGTTATAAAGGCAGAAGGTGAAGTGAATTGTAATGTATTAAAGCTTATGTTAAAATGTGTTTGATTTAGATGGCACACAATTCTTTTGTGATTTCAACTGTATTTGAGCCCTGATTGGATGAGACATAGAATTTAACACACATCTATAAAATGCACATATCATCCTAAGATATTATGCAGGCATATAAAAAAAGGTCCTCAGGATATATATCATATAATCAGAGTTTCAAAATTACTTGTACATCTGGAACAATGTGCATTTAATGGCAAACTTGATTTAGCACTGTGCGATGTTTGAAAAAGTGACCTCATCTATTTCAGTAGGAATCTTGTTTTAAGTTGGTGAGATTTACTGCTGAGTAAACATGAATATATTGCATTGTGTATCTAGAGATGGTGGATGCAATGTTATCTGCAGTACTTTTGAGAAGAAAAGAGAAATCAATAGCACAATGATGTGCATACTTCCAAATATGCAGTTTATTGTTATATATTAACATGCTATGATTTGTCTGGAAACAAGTCAAATGCCCAAAAATTCAATCAGCTAAAATTTTATAGTTAAATGTTACCTTCTATAAAATGTTTGCATTGGCTTTCTTGAGAGACTACTAATTGGTTTGGCTTGATGAATAGGTTAGATCTGTATTGGAGAGTGCCAGTAACTTATAACGATTTTGTATTTCTGCCTAAATTGAAAATGTGATGGTTGAAGAGAAAAGAATTATTTTTCATGCTAAATATCATATCGGTATTGGACATATCAGTATTCATGACTTTTTTATGCACTTAGTGATTTGCCTGATAATTAAGAAAATAGAAAGTACGGTACAATAGACTCCTAGAACTTATATTAAACATATTTGTAGCAAAGGAACTTTAATAAGGAGGTAATAATATTGTTCATTTTCTAAACAATATTCATATCTTCTCCTATATCACTGTAATTACTTTGATCAGCTACTTGTTGTGCCTCTTTGAACAAAAAGACATGCTCTTAACGCAATATATATTCAAATATTTGGAGACTTTGCGACTAGGGATAGTTGAAAACTAGTCATTATTTTGTATTTTCCTGTTTGTTTTATTGTAGGTTGTGTTATTCAGTGATAGGATGAACAATTCTTTCTGGTTTCATTCAACTTGTGTGTTTGGAAAAAAAAACCTATAGAGTTACACAGAATCCCATAATATTGGAAGTGGTTTGAATTGAGGGTTAGGTTTAGAGCCAGAAGTAATTAGAATTGGGGAGAGAATTGAGAGGGAAACAATTGGGGACATTTGCGGTAGTCTTTAGAAGCATTCTCCCCTAAACTCCCTTAGACTTCTCAAGATTTGTACTTTCTTGTCATATATACAAGTGTGGGGAACCCACACTTTTCTGCCACAGCTTTTTCATCTTCCCCAAAACGATCACCGACTGCCTTTGAACTCTGTCTCTTTTTAGACAGATTCAAACCTGGAGTTACTGTGTGTGGGTTGGGTGGCTATATAAATCCATTTAATAAATAAATAAAGACTGGTCTGATAGGTTACGTGGAAATGGTCTTTGGCTGAATTGAAATAGCCTTATGTGTGGGTTTGTCTTATGCTACACATGTGGAATTCCTCATTAGCATAACAAAAGATCCACATATTGACTATATATGTTGCCCAAGGTGTCAGTTCAAATAGTGATGATTCAAATTCTGAACCATCAAGGGCAGTGGCTTTTTTCCACAGCTTACACTCAGTAGACTGATTTATTCATGTTCAAGGAATGTAATAAATTCCATTACAAGCTTCATATACTTTCCCCATATCTTATAAAAGTTCTGTTACCATTTTTTCCAACATGTTTATTATGAAACCCTTGGTGATTATTTCTCTTCTTGGAATGCTAATCTAATTTTACAACCCTGAATATTTTGAGTATATCGTCTGAAAATACTGTTGAACAGAAATGTACCTACAAAAATTCTCTAAAATATGTTTTAATGTAGCTTATATAAACACTTGAATGCATATTGCATAACTTGCCCAGCCGAAGGATATTGCTAATAGGGCGTTTATATTTGGATATGATATAGCAGTGTGGTAGCACAGTAATATGTATGTCTGTTGGTACAGTTTTCAGAGTATATGCTGATACTATGATGATTTCAAAATTGCACTTTGTGTTAGATAAATTGTATATAGTATCTGTATGTATGGTACACTACATTTTGAGAAAAGTTGTAGATTTATGTAGGGATGAGTAAGGCTGTTCATCTATTAGGAGTTTTCTTTCTATATCTTGATTCCTCTGATTTTACTCATATTGTTAGGCTACACAGCATAGCTTCTTGCATGAACAAAATATATTATGTGATAACTGCTCTTCATATCGTGTTTACAAAATCTCTTCTTGGCACTATGCAACAACTAAGCATGTAGAAATTTGAGCAGGTTGAATTATGTAGCATATTTAAAATTCTGTGATTTTCTATACAACACTTACTCTGTAATATAGTGAATTTCCTAAAATAATAACATAAATTGTACTATGAACAATGAAAACGCTTTCTATTTTGGATGGCAAAACCTTACTTATTTTCTTTTAAAAGCTCTCCTGTTATATTTTGCATAGCTTGCTTGCTTTCTGAAATTCATCACATTATCATGGAAAGTCTGAAGTTACAGTCTTCAGATTGACTAAGAAGCTGCTATAAACTATGGAAGGAAGCAGCAGAAGCAGGTGGAGCCCCCAAAGGCAGAAGCTTCCCCTTCTCAAAGCAAGCCATCGTGTAGCACAAATGTTAAGAGTGAGATGTTTAATTCTTGTGAATATAGCTTTGGTGCCCTTTTGGCAGTTCCTGACATAGCAGAGTGGGAACTAATGGAAAGGGAGAGAAGGAAGCGAGCTATGTATATGTGCATTATTCACCAATCTGTATACATCTCTTTCCCAAGCAATTAAGATTAGAGGTTGAGTTAAATTTTTGAGTGGCAACATTAAGTAATTCTGTGCTATGTAGTCTTGGATTCTCAGTAAGATGTTTTCAGTTGTAATTATTAGATCGCTACTTTAAAAAAATATTTTGCTCAACGGAAGAGTCATATGCTTTCTAGAATAGTAAATGAACAAAGCACCAAGTTTTTAAAACTGCTATAAATCTAATTTGCAGCATCGAAGGTGAATGTTACCTTCATTTTAAGAAGTATCCCAATCTTAGTGATATCCAAAATGTATGTGAATAGAAACTACCCAAATGTATAACATAAATGTTACCAAAAGCCTGATTATATGGTGAAAGGAATTTAATTTTAATTTCAAACCACAATGCTTTTATTTTATTTTGAAAGTCTTTTATATAATTCTTAAAAGAGTTGCAAGGAAGGAAGGCATATTGTGGCAAATAGTGAACCACAAGCAATAATTTAAACCAGACTATGCACAGATAATTAAGACTGTAATCTTGTGTACTATTTATTACAGTGTCTATACTGTTGCAGTCTTAAAAAAACAAACTGCTCTTGGAGAAAAAAAAATCTTATATGTAAATTGGCAGAGTACATTTATTACATATTCCTAATTCTGTAGCATCTTCCTCTTGATAATTTTCAAAGGTTTGCAATAGTAAAAGTTGGAAATTTGCAGAACCATAGAAAATGCATTTCTTAAAGGCCAAACTCTTTCAATTTGATTATGTGGAAATGAAAGACTTTGCATTTTCTCCTTGCAATCTTCCTAATGTTTATATTTCATGGAAAGATTCATTGAAAGGATACGTTCCTTTTGACCTCTTGCCAACTGAGATTGCCCTTTACTAAAATTTGGAGCACAGGTAGATTTTTAAAATATGCTTGTAGGCACATCGACACTGTCAACCCTGACATACACCTTAAAAGGATTAAGACGTGACAAAATTGCAATGTTAGTGATTCATTCAAATGACGTTGAATGCATACTTGTGTTTCTCTGCATAATAATGGTTTTAAACAAAGCGTTGACTATATAAACATTTTAAATAAATAAAATTTTAAAAATAAATATCTTAATATCCTTTCTTCTCCATCTTACATAGCTAATGATGGTGGCATTGTTGTCAAAGTCTGAATGCAATTATTTAATGGG